ATCATGTTCATCTATTCACTGTAGTTGGAGCCTTCGTGTCTGCTCTTCTATAAATCATTTACAGATTTTTCTCAAAGACCCATGACCCAAGCACTGAGGTCAGAGCTCAGAGCCACATTCGTCATGATACACACAGGCTTTAAAAAAAAATGGATTACTGGGGGTTTTATTTAATTAATTAATTTAATTCTATCAAGGCCAACAGGAAATTCACTTGGAATCAGTTTTCTTCTTTCCTTTTACCATGTAATCAGACTGGGTTTTCAAGAATTATTCCCTCCTCTGTGACCTGTGTTCCAGAAGAGGAAAATAATACTTAAGATAGAGTCTGACTTTTCGGTCTAGGAAACTCCCCTTCCTGCAGCAGGTACCTGTCTGCAGTAAAACTGGAAAGCACACGCACTAAAAGAGTGGAACCCATGGGTGTAGAAAGGCAACGCAGACCCCTCTGTGCATAGGGTCTCTTCTAAAACAAAGTGGTGTGCATCACCGCGTAGTCCCAGACTCACCCTCCCATCCCTGCAAGGGGCAGGGCAGGGACAGGAAACACATGAAGAGATGCTCCACATCACTCATTAGGGAAACGCAAATCAAAACCACAGTGAGATGTCATCCCACACCAGTCAGAACGGCTATCATCAAAAAGATAAGAGAGAACAAGTGTTGCAAGCATGTGGGGGAAAGAGAACCCTTGTGCACGGTTGGTGGGATTGTGAACTGGCACAGCCACTGTGGAAAATAGCACGGAGGTTCCTCAAAAAAATTGAAAATAAGAGCTACCCTACAACCCAGTAATTCACTTCCGGGTATTTACCCAAAGAAAATGAAGCATTCATTCAAAAAGATGTATGTACCCCTATGTTTACTGCAGCATTATTTACAATAGTCAAGATATGGAAACAACCTAAGTATCCATCAGTAGATGAACAGATAAGAAGATATGATATACATACACACACACACATACATACACACAATGGAATATAATTCAGCCATAAAAAAATGAGATCTTGCCATTCACAACGATGTGGATGGACCTCAAGGGTATTCTGCTAAGTGAAATAAGTCAGACAGAAAACGACTAATACCATATGATTTTGCTTATATGTGGAATCCAAATAAAACAAAACAAAGCAGATGAACAAACAAAACGGAAGTGGACTCCTAAGTACCGAGAAGAAACTAGTGGTTGCCAGAGGGGACGGGGGGGGGGAGGTTGGGTGACATAGGCAAAGGGGATGAAGAGGTACAAACTTCCAGTTAGAAAATAAAATACGTCAGAGGGATGAAAACTATAGGGAAAAAAAGGAGGGGGAGAATCGGCAGAAAACTCCCAGAAGCTGAGCCTGTGCAAACTTAAATGTTTGCACCTTTTCCTTCCGTGTGTCCATGTCCCTCAAGGAATCCAGAGCTCCTCAACCGCACACAGACCGCGGGGTCCAGAAGACAGGACAGGAGACTGGAGATTAAGCCCAGTTCAATGAAAGTTGCCGGCTGGGTGCCTTGGGCAAGTCATCATTTACTTCCTCTTCTGTGACATGAGGCTATTCTAATACCTGCCTTGCCCATCTCCACGAGGTTCAGGAGACCCAAATGAAAAAAAACGAACAAGGAATTGCTTTGTATGCAATGACGAAACGCAGGCTGGAAAAACATAGTGTGTTATCACGGTTAGTCTTAGTTCTGCCACTGACGGTGTGACCTTGGGAAAGTTACTAAGTTCTCTAAGCTTCCACATCTGTAACGCAGGGGAAATATGACCTACCTCAGATGTTTAAAATAGGCATTAAATAAGATAGTTAATATAAACCAGACACTTGGCTTTCCCAAGCCCAGGGGAGGACTTCTCCACCTAAATAAGAAGATAAGGACCTGCTAAGGGAAAGCTCTGCATCCTTTCACCCTTCCTCCCTCCTTCTTCCGGATTGGAACATAAGTGTGAGGCCTGGAGGTGCAGCAGCCATCTTGCAACCAGGAGGCAAGAGGCTTGAGAATAAAGGCCTCTGCTAAGGATAGAGGAATAGAAAAGTAGAAAGAAGCTTGAGTTCCTGGTGATCATTGATACTTGCCCCAGGACATTTCCCCTGAACTTTTTACTACATAGGAAAAAATAGTTTTTTATTGGTATCAGTCTGTAAAGTAGGGCTTTCTGTTGTTTATATCCATATGCATTCCAAATAGATACACTGCCTTAATTTTTTTTTAAGATTTTATTATTTCAGAGAGAGCACGCAAGCAGGGTGGGAGGGGCAGGGAGAGATGGTGGGAGAGAGAGAGAAGCAGACTCCCCACTGAGCGCAGAGCCCAATGCAGGGCACGACCCTGAGATCATGACCCAAGCTGAAATCAAGAGTCGGACGCTCAACCAACAGAGCCACCCAGGCGCCCCTACACTGTCTTAGTGTACATTAAGTCTGGTCCCTACAGAGCACAGCTATGGGATAGGGCCTTGGCATATGGTTTCTACTGTGTTGGCCGAGACAGCTAAAGTAAATAAAGTCTGAAATTAAAGTTTGGGGATTGGACGAAAAGTGTTAATCATGAGAACTCTGAGAAATTCAAGAATCCGCATACATTTCACAGGCGATGAAAACTGCAGTGTTATTGTTAAAACAAAGAAGCTCATCAGTCAAAAAGTTCCTCTGGCAAATACTTTTCTTTAAAAGTAAATGAGGGGCGCCTGGGTGGCTCAGTCGGTTAAGCGTCTGCCTTCAGCTCAGGTCATGATCCCAGGGTCCTGGGATCGAGCCCCACATCGGGCTCCCTGTTCGGCAGGAAGCCTGCTTCTCCCTCTCCTGCTCCCCCTGCTTGTGTTCCCTCTCTCGCTGTCTCTCTCTCTGTCAAATAAATAAATAAAATCTTAAAAAATAAATAAATAAATAAAAGTAAATGAATATAGGGGCACCTGGGTGGCTCAGTCATTAAGCGTCTGCCTTCGGCTCAGGTCATGATCCTGGCATCCTGGGATCGAGCCCCACATCGAACCCAACATTGGGCTCCCTGCTCAGCGGGGAGTCTGTGTCTCCCTCTCCAGGCTGCTTCTCCCTCTCCAGCTCCCCTCTCTCGCTCTCTGTCAAATAAATAAAATCTTTAAAAAAAAAAAAAAAAAGTAAATGAATATAACAAAAGAAGTACAAGACTTTCACCATGAAAATTACAAAACATTGTAAACCAGAAAGTAGATTCATGGTTCCCAGGCTAGGGCTTGAGGTGGGTGAAGAGTTAATGCTAAGGGATGGGCACTTCTTTTGGGGGTGATGAAAATGTTCTGGGAAGATGGTGGTGATGCCCGTACAACTTTGTGAATATAACCACCACCACTGAACTGCGCACTTTAACCAACTGAGCCACCCAGGCACCCCCGAACTGCGCACTTTAAAAGGGTGAGTTTTGTGGAATGTGAATTATATCACAGTTAACAAAGAATGAATGAAGAAGAAAAACATAAAATGAACAAGAGTAAAGGAGACTAACTACTTACTCAGAGCCCCTTCAGACTTCCATCTGAGTCTAATCATTTGACCCCTTAGCCCCAAGACACATCCATGGAAATTTCCACTGGAGATAAACTGAAATTTTTGCTCATACTGCCTCCTCTTTGGCAATGTTCCAGGCATCTTCCCTCAGTGGTTATGTTGACATGGCTCATAAAGCAATGAAAAAAAAAAGAAGAAAAGAAACCCCTCCATTTGCACCCACCTAGCTTGCAATACCAACATGGAGAAAACAATCCAGGTCCTTTCACTGATTTGCAGTGTTGGTCCTCTTCGACTCAGCATCTGTGATATTCAGGGTGGCAAATACTAAGATTGTGGTCTGATAATAGTATTGTGGTCTGTTGCTTATACTTATAATTGAAGGAAGTACAAAATATCCATTAGGAGCTGATAAAGATGTAATTTTTCCAATCTATAAAGATGGATACCTATAGGGGCACCTGGGTGGCTCAGTCAGTTAAGTGTCCAACTCTTGATCTCAGCTCGGGTCTTGATTTCAGGGTCATGAGTTTAAGCCCCGTGTTGGACTCCACACTGGGTGTGGAGCCTATTCAAAAAAAAAAAAAAAAAAAAAAGATGGATAGATACAGATACTTTGTGCAGTTTCTGGCAGACAGCAAGTGCTAACTTTCTCCAGGAAGGAGGAATGGGTCCATGTGGAGACAGTGTGGTCTCTGTGGCAACAAAGCAAACTGGCCCACCCAAGGGACTGGACTTCTGACCTGGACCCCAACACAGTGGCTAACGACAGAGCCAGCCTCAGGCTCCCACAGCCTCAACATCCCCCCTGAAGACACCCGCAGTCCCTACCCACACTCTCCACCCTGGGCCCCAGACTCTCAGCTATCCTGTGACATAGAGGCTGGGCTTGGGGGACCTCGGTGCCAGACACACCCAGGATGTCCTCACCACTCCCAGCCAAAACACCCTGCTCAAAAAACAGAGAAGTGAAACCTGTAAATAACCAAAACTTGTTTCCAGACCTTCGGAGTTCTCCCACCCTGACCCATCTATCGTGTGTGTGTGCTCTGCCTCCCCACGGATCCTGCCTCGAACACCAGGGGCATTAACTTGTTCTTCCTCAGTCCTCCCTGCTGGAGCAAATGCTTCACTCATGGAATCAGAAGCTTTCCGCCTTCACCCTCAGAATCCAGCTCTGGAAGAGTAAGAGTGGAATCGAATCTTCGAATCTTCAGGCTTGGCTCAGGAGCTTGGACGGAGCCAGCGGGCGAGGGGCACTGGGTGAATAACTGAGCAAATCAGATGATATTTTTACATCTTGCAATGGTAATTCACAGAATTTTTCTTTGAGTAATCATTATGCCACAGTCTTAAAAATTAGGACACTGTCTGGATTACAAGCATATATTTTTTTATTGTGGTAAAATACACATAACATAAAACTTACCATTTTAGCCATTTTTAAGTATAAGTTCTATGACATGAAGCATATTCACAATGTCGTGCAACCGTCACTGCCATCCACCTCCGGAACTCTGCCCCCATTAAACACAAACTCCCCGTGTCCCCCCCCCAGCCCCTGGTAGACACCATTCTACAGTCTGTCTCCATGATGTTGACTGCTCCAGGGACCTCATATAAGTGAAATCACACAATATTTGTCTTTCTATGTGTGAATCACTTCACTTTACATAACGTCTTCAAGGTTCATCCATGTTGCAGCATGTGTGAGAATCACACAGTTTTTAAATTTTTTTAAGCTTATTTTTTTAGTTATCTCTACACCCAGCGTGGGGTCAAACTCACGATCCCAAGATCAGGAGTCGCGTGGTCTTCTGACTGAGCCAGCCCAGCGCCCCAGAATCACACAATTTTTAGCAGACATTCACTGGGTCATCAGAAAATGTTGATGACCTTCTGTTGCAAGCAGGGCCGGTACTCAGTGTTCTAGCTAAAACAAAACAAAACAAAACAAAAAAGTAAATGATAGAGTCTCTGCTCCAAGGTGTCAGACAACTCATCTCATTTTTAAAGGGTCCAATGTGCTGCTAAATGAGAGACAGCCAACACAGCTGGCCTTCCTCTCTGCCCTCGAGAACGGCTTTCTACATTCCAGCCTACAGACTATAGACTATTTCCCAGGTGAATCTATGGATTCCAGAACACAACTTAAAAATGGAATTTGCTAATGGGAGGAATTTCAGGCCATACTGGGGTAGCAAGCAAACAAATAACTGATAGAGTCGGGTATCCACTCCTCGGATCATGCTCTGGAAGACCATCAAGTGGACAGTCTATGGCTCTTTCCAGAAATCCTAAGAGGTGCCAAGACTTTCCACACAGTAAGACTGCTCCCTCGGCACCCACCACCCCTGGTGCACCTGCTGGGAGGCCGCCAAGAAGGCCTTGGATGGACTGAAGATCCACTGAGCTCCTACTCAAAGCCAAGTAGCACACTAGGTGCTTCCACACATAGTATCCCATTGAATAATCTGAACAACCAAATCCAAGAGACACCATCACCTCATGTGTAGATGCAGAAACAGAGGCTCAGGTGAGCTAAGAGACAACCCAAGGTCACACAGCTAATTCGTGTCAGAACTGGGCAAACAAATTCAGGCTTGTCAACCTCAACGCTCTTTTCTTTCACTCATGATGCCTCTCATTCCCAGGCACTACAGCATGGCTCTCCAATGCGTTCCTCATCTCCAGCCCCCACGCTGCTCCTCCATCAAAGACCCCAGACATACATCTCAGGAAAATGCCTCAGTGGTGGGACCAGCTGAAAGCACAAGGAAAGGTGTTATCCTCCACCCCACAGGGATCATAAAGGGGGCTGGGTGGGGGCGGGGGAGTTGTCCCTCCAAAGAGGTCTATCTGGAAAGGACAAGATTTCTAAGAGCCCTTAAGTAAGAAAGGAGAATATTCCTACAGCACCAACAGTTTAAGCATGGGCAGGGCTTCTGACTGAAACGAAGAATGCTCAGGCAGCTTCTCTAATTAATGATGACTGAGTCATACAAAGAAGGAAAAGTTGGCTCCAAGCTGATTCTGAGAGAAGGGTGCCCTCTGTGAAGTGCCTGAGTAGGCGTCTCTTGCAGCCATATCCCCCACTCTCTCCTCCAATACTGATGCCACACCTTCTGGCACTTTCTCGTGGATAGAAGCTGCAAAAAGCTGGAGGCCTAGCCCAACAGATTTGGGAGAGCTCACTCTGGCCAACCAAATGACTGGTGGGGATGTTGGTGGGGAAGACATCTCCACATGGAGAAATGGACCGTGGCTGGTCTTGTACACTGGCCACAGGATAATCTGAGGGGCAATGGCAAGTCCCAGCCAGAAACACCTCTCCACGTCACTGCCTCTGAGATTTCACCTTTAAAAATGTCTTTCTCAGAAGGCTATCAGCCTCATAACAATCACAAAGTCCCTATCCCAACATGGGATATGACATAATTCACCCTAGATTCATATGGAAGAGCACTGACTAAAGAATAGCCAAGAAAATTTGAAGCAGAACCAAGTGGGAAGAATTTACACTCTTTTTTTAAAAAAAGATTGTATTTATTTGAGAGAGACAGAGCGAGCCAGAGAGATAGCATAAGCAGGGGTAGGGGCAGAGGGAGAGGGAGAAGCAGACTCCCCACCGAGCAAGGAGCCCAATGCGGGGCTAAATCCCAGGACCCCGGGATCATGACCCGAGCCCAAAGGCAGATGCTTCACTGACTGAGCCACCCAGGTGCCCGGACTTCACATCCTCATATCAGAAATAATGATTAAGACAGCATGGTTCTAATAGCAGAGGGATAGACAACACACCAGAGAACAGACTAGGGAACTCAAAAGCCATTCAAATATAGAAATTTGATAAATATCAGAAGTGGCTATAAATATTGGGAGAAATGTGGACTATTCAATAAGTAGTGTTAGAGTTAAACAAAAAAGTCTTTCGTTTGGTTCCTTTCCCCAGGAGAAGTCCTCTTGGGAGGAGAACATTAATCAACTCCTGGTAAAGTGTTAGACAGAGAATCAAATGGATCTTGGAGGTCACATGATCCAGCCCAGTGCAGGAATCTCTGACAGTATCTGCTTGTATATCCCAGGGATATGAAAATCATAATCAGGCAAGGAAGGCTATTCCCCGGCTGTATAGCTCCCGTAAAGTTCTTCATATTAAGCCAAAATATTTTCCCACAGCTTCTTCCCCTCCCTATATGGCACGGGATAAATGTGCTTCCTCAAGTCTGCCTAGCAAGGCCCTGAGCACCTCCTGAGGACTGCTGTTCTCTCTGTCATGCTTGTGGCAGGACATTCAATACACATCCCCCCTTCCAGGATGCCTCTGATGGACTCACTCCAATTATCAGTAATTTTGATAATTATGATATGATATTTGTATACACACACACACACACACATCCTAGTAACAGGAGGAAAAGCAAAAGGCTCCAAACTGAGGTAACACAATAGACCCAAACGGAGTCTCAGATGTGTTAGTGGGTGTTCCTGGCCATCTGGTTGACCCCAGGCAGCAGGCATTCACAGCCCCTGATCCAGCAGCACTCTGCCATCAAAGTCACTCATTCAGTTCCCCTCTCATACTCTGCTTCTTCCCATCCATCTCTTCTTTTCTCCTTTTCTTCCAAGTGTGCGGTTGATTTTGCCACATTTCCAGTCACTACAGCATGGCTCTCCAAGCCGGGCCCTCGTGGAGGTCGCTGGCCGCTGTTGCTCAAGGAACAGCCTAAGAAGGCTCATCAGGAGCTGGAGGCACTGCAGTTTCTCTCGGAAGGCGACAGTGAGCAGGAACAGCCTGTGCCTGACCTTCACAGTACAGCTGGTGCCCAAAAGGGAGGACTAAAAAGGTGTTCATCTCAGTTCAGGGAGGGAATAACACAGATTTCTTGGCTGTCATGCTTGATTCTGAAATCCAGATGGAGGGGACTCAGTGAGAATCACTGTGTGACCAGCTGCTTCTTGTTGGTTATCATCTGGGGCTGTGAATAGGGCCTCAACCCCAAACATCAGCCCCAGTGTCTGTCCAGCTATCACCCTTTCATCCCTCTGTGGCTTCCAGTTTCCTCTATTAAAATAAAAATGCCACTTAGTAATAAATTTAACCAAAGACATACAAGACTTCTATGCTAAAGGCTACTAAACGTTATCAAGGGAAATAAAGGAAGATCTAAATAAATGAAGAGATGCACCATGTTCATGGATTATAGGACTCAATATTGTTAAGATGTCAGTTCCCTCCAGATTGATCTACAGATTCAATGTAATCCCAATCAAAATTCCAGAAGGCTTTCTTTTCAGAAATTAACAACCAATTAAATAGAAATTTAAACAATTTAAGTAGAAATGAAAAGGACTAGAACAGCCAAAATAATCTTAGTAAAGAACAAAGTTGAAGGGCTTACAGTAGCTGATTTTAAGATTTACTATAAATAATAATAGAGTTTGGCATTAGCATTAGGGTACACAAATAGATCAATGGAACAGCAAACAGAGTCCAGAAATAGACCTACACATGTAAGCAACTGATTTTCAACAAAGGAACCAAGATATTCAATGGGGAAAGACAAATATCTTCAACATTTTTGGATAGACATAGAAATAATTTTCTATCTAAGAGGGAAAAAAAAAGTGAACCACAACTCCATACATCACACCAAAAACTTAAGCTGAAATGGATCCTAGACCTAAATGAAATACGGCATCTTAAAAAAAATGAAAAAATATCTCCTTGACCTTGAAGTAGGCAAATATCTCTTAGGCAAAACACAAAAAGCACTAACCATTAAAAAAATTTACAACTAGGGGCACCTGGGTGGCTTGGTCGGTTAGGTATATGCCTTTAACTTGGGTCATGATCTCGGAGTCCTGGGCTCAAGCCCCATGTCGGGTTCCCTGCTCGGCGGGAAGTCTGCTTCTTCCTCTCCCTTCTGCCCCTTCCCCCACTCATGCTCTCATGCACTCTGTCTCAAATAAAGAAAAAAATAATCTTTTTAAAGAAAATTTACAACTGAAATTCATAAAAATTTAAAATTTTCAACACACCAAACTTAATGGCTATAATTAAACAGACTAACAACACCAAATGTTAGTGAGGATATGGAGCAACCAAAACTCTCATACACTGTTGATGGGAGTGTAAAATGGTAAAACCACTCTGGAAAAAAGTCTATCAGTTTCTTATAAAACTAAAAATAAAACCATAGACAGAGCAATTCCATTTCTAGGTATTTAAGAAAAAGGTAAATGAGGGCACCTGGGTGGCTCAGTAGGTTGGGCATCTGCCTTAGGCTCAGGTCATGATCCCAGGGTCCTGGGATCGAGTCCCACATCGGCTCCCTGCTCAGCGGGGAGCCTGCTTTTCCCTCTCCCTCTGTCTGCCACTCCCCCTGCTCGTGTGCTCTCTCTGTGTCAAATAAATAAAATCTTTAAAAAAAAAAAAAAAAGGTAAACATATGGTCCAGGAAAAGACTTTTACAAGAATATCCATACCAGCTTTATGTATAATAGCTCTAACCTGGAAACAGCCCAGATGTCCATCTGAAAGAAACTGTGGTAAAGTAATGCATTCTACTCAGAGGAGAAAAAAAAGACACAAGCTACTGTCATAACAACATGAGCAAATCTCAAAAACATTACGCCTGCTGGAAGAAGCCTTACACAAATGAGCACCTGATACATGATTTGAATTATAGGAAGTTCCTGAACAGACACAATTCATCTCTGCTGGGAAGATGCCACTGTGGCCGCTTCTGGAGGTAGAGCAGGACTGACTGGGAAGAGGCAGCAAGGGCTTTCTGGGGGGACAGGAATGTTCCATATCTTTTTTTTTTTTAAATAACAGCTTTATTGAAATATATTTCATATGCCATAAAGTTCACCTTTTTAATTGGTGCAGCACAGTGGGTTTTAGTATATTCATAGTTATGCAACGGTCGCTACTGTCTAGTTGCAGAAGAAACCAGATACCCACTAGCTCAGCCCCAACCCCCAGCCCAGCCCTAGAGAGACCGTTTCACACCATTCGGTCAACCACCCATCTGCTTTCTGCCTCCATAGATCAGCCAGTTCTGGACATTGTGCAGAAATGGATTCATCTATTCTGAAGCCTTCTGTTTCTGGTTCCTTTCACTCAGCATCATGCTTTCCAAGTTCATCCAGGCGCGCGTGGGTGGTGCAGTCAGTTAAGTGTCCAACTCTTGGTTTTGGCTCAGGTCATGATCTCAGGGTCATGAGATCGAGCCCCACATCAAGCCCCTCATCAGGCTCCACACTCAGTGAGGAGTCTGCTTCTCTCCCTCTGCCCTTCCCCCCGCCCCAGCTCATGTGCTCTCTCTCTCAAAGTAAATACATCTTTAAAAAAAAAAAGAGTTCATCCGTGTTGTAGCAGGTGTCCATATTTCTTTCCTACTGCTGTGTAATATGCTGTTGTATAAATACACCACATTCTGTTTATCCATTATCATTGCAGCTGATGGACATTTGGGGAGATGCTTAACTGGAAAAGGCAAAAGGAAATGAACTCTCCTGGGTAATTAACATAGCAGCTACATGAATGTATATATTGGTCAAACTTATTGAACTGTGTACTTAATTGTGCATTTTATTTTAATGAATAAACTGTAATTAAGGAGCACTTGGGTGGTGCAGTCACCACCAGTCAGTTAAGCAACCGACTCTTGGTTTTGGCTCAGGTCGTGCTCTCAGGGTTCTAAGATCAAGCCCCGCGTGGAGTCTGCTTGGGACTGTCTCTCCCTCTGCCCCTGCCCCCTGAGTTCTCTCTCTCTCTAAAGTAAATAAATAAATCTTTAAAAAAAAAACATAATTTAAAATAAAAGAGGCCCCAGGAAAAAAAGAATAAAGAAAGAGAGAATACAGGAAGAAAGGAAGAAATGAAGGAGGGAGGGAGGGATGAGCAATCACCCAAGCCAGCAGCACTGGTTTCCCTGTGGGCTGTAGCAATTGCTCTCAGTGGGGATCAGGCTGTGCCAGGATTGCCTGTGACCCTGTGATAATCAGAGCGTACACCTCACAGGGCACATTCTGTCCTGCAGAGAAAACCCACTGTGTGCGGCCAGTGTGCCGGAGAGGGCACCCAGCTGGGCGGCAGGGCGTCTGCTTTGGGCTGGCCCATCCCCGCACAGGCCCCTGAGTCTGAGCACACTCTTTTTTGAGATCATCTGATTTGCTGCTTACAAAGCAACTCTGTAATGCCAAGATGTCTTTATGGGGAGATGTTTCTGCTGCAAAAGGGAGATGTAGCTGGTTAGTCTGGCAGTTCTGTCTCTTGATGTAAATCAATAAATTGATGTCAAGTTTGCCATTATATATATATATATATGTATTTTATGTCTGAAGGGCGGCCGTGTCAGAAGGGAGGGAGGAAGAGGCAGGGAAGGAGGCCTGAAGACTTGGCCACCACTTGCACCTGGACAAAAATGGTCAAACGGTGGCATTTTCATTTGGCTCAACCTTGAGACCATCTGGTGGTTGCAAGACTCTGTGCAGGGTTGGAGACCTCTGTTCTAATTGTGTTTGGGGGTGGGGGTGGGGGTGGGAAGCAGGGCACATGCAGAAAAAAATAACTCATGATATAGGCGGCAGATGCCAAGCGCTGTACCAGTGCAGGCCACAGATCGTGCTCGCCATGAAGGCTCCAACGGCAGAGAGGCCGCTTCCCACCATTCTGTCCACACGTGCTCTGTGCCGGGGCTCCGGATGCTGGGATTCATCACGTGTGGCCCCATGCTCCAAGATGCTCCCTCGTGGTCTAGGGGCGCAGACTCACTTGCAAACAAAGAATTGGAAAGCACTGTGGTAGTCATTAAGAGGAGGCGTCTGCAAACTAGGGCTTCTGCCTGAGAGTGGGGGGAGCATGGTGGAAGGGGGGGACAGGCTGGGCCAAACTGGGGACATTCCAGAGAGAAGAAAGAAAGGTTCTCGGAGTATCAGCACAGAAGTGGAAAGATGCACAGACCAAGGAAGGTCTCATTTTGACCAGAGAAGTGCTCGTGGTCACGCTCAGCAGCAGGAACCAAGGTTGAGGTGCATCTGGCTGGAGGGAGAGGGGGTTGGGGGAGTCCACCTGAAAGAGCCAGCACAAGCTCCTGAATAATGGGAAGAAGCGAGACACGCAAACAGGAACACACAGCAGAAGCTGGGTCTCTGGGTGTCCTGCATGAGGCAGGCTGAACAATGCCCCCCAAAGGATGTCTACGTCCTTATCCCCAGATCCAGTGGCTATGTCACCTTACATGGAAAAAGGGATTTTGCTGAGGTGATTAAGGATCTTGAGAAGGAGAGATTACCCTGCATGACTTGGTGGGCCCAGTATAACCACAAGGGTCCTCATTAGAGGGATGCAAGAGGTCAGAGTGCATAGTAGATGAAACCATGGGAGTCAGATGTTGGGGTGATATGAGGAAGGGGCTGCAAGCCAAGGAATGCAGCTGACTCCAGACTCTGTACGACAAGGAAATGGAAGCCTGCGGAAGGAACACAGACCTACAGACCGCGTGGTTTTCATCCAGGGGGACTCATTTCAGACTTCTGACCCCAGAACTGCAGGCTAATATATTTGTGTTTTTAGGGCCACCAAGTGTGGTAATTTGTTACAGCATCAACAGGAACCTCATACACTGCAGAATCAGTGGAAAAGCAACTTACACAGAGCCCCCTGCCTAGCCCCTCTCCCTACCCTCAGCAGATACGTTTCCCTCCCAAAACGTAAGGCCACCAAAAACAATCGGGATGCAGAAGCATGGTTAGCAAATGTGGTCCCACTAACTGCTGCTTCCTTCATCCACTCACTTAGCAAGTGACAGGAACAGAGCAAGGTCCGTGATCCATACCAACATCCCTGCCCTCAGCGAGCTCAGAGTCTAGTCGGGGGTACAGACGTGTCAACAGCTGGTCACCACCCAAGGAGGTAGGCAGGGGGGAACACAGCAGCACAAAGGACAGCCAACTGGCCTGGCTTCCCAAGGACAGAATGCCCCGGCACAGTGGGTCTCAGCTGGGCAGAGGGAGGATGAGGGGGAAGACAGGCAGATGGGACTGCCTTTAGCAGAATGGAGGCAGCAGGAGATATAGCTCGCCTGGGGGAACAGAGGCCAGAGGCCGGGATAGGTGGCTCCTGGTTACAAGGTGGAAACAACTGCTTCATGGCTGCTTTCTCGGCCCTGTGTTGGTCAGGCCCTGTGTGAGGGCCAGGAGCTGCAGGAAGATTCATGGCAGAGATGGGCAAGGGTCCTAGGGAAAGCCTCCCTGGTGCAAACACAACCTGAACCTTCAAACTCCAAGCTCCAGTACCCGAAAGAGATGGTCCAGGCGGGGAAGACCCCAGGGCTAAACCCTCTGACCCTGTTCCTCCCACACGACACCTCATCCTGGGATTCGTCCCCCTGCAGGGCCACGGCCATGACATGCAGACCTCAGGGGCCACGGGCTCCCTGCCGCCCCTTACGCCAAGAAGCAACACAATCTTACCACTGCTTACCTTCACGAACACAAGGAGGAGAAGATTCCCACCCGGGGAGTAGCCTGGCTTCTCCAGCGGATTTCTGACCTAAGCCATTCCCAGATGATTGACATCACTGATGACAATGAATGAGCCAACTGTGTTGTCATAGTTGGATGCAAAAAACGGCCCTGTTGTTGAAACAGCACTGCGCCTGGGGAGTGACCAGACAACGTTTGGTCCCAAGGGTGAGGAAATCTGGGGATGGAAAGAAGGAGGAGAAGGGCAGAAGGGGAGGGGAGGGGGGAAACCGGGACAGAGGTGGAGAGAAGCAGGAACTGCATCTCCCCTTGCACAAGGGACGCAGTTCAGACTTTCCAAGACAGAGAAAGCCTTTCAGGACCCCTGAACTCAGGGAACAAATCTGGGCCATGGCAGCATTGCAGGCTGAGGCCACAGGGACAGAGTTCAGGCATCTAACCCACTGAGGCCACAGACCTTGTCCATCATGCAGATCAGAGCAGGAGAGCATGAGAAACTGTATTAAATACCAAGGGGAAGATTTTGCAAATAATTTTTTTTTAATTGTCACTACTTAAGTGCGAAGACTCTGAAGTCTGAGAAGCAACATTTTATTCTAAGCAATCAGAGATAAATAAAAAGGAGAACTCTCTGTACTGAATGAGTCTGCGTTGGTGTGGGCCCACACTCGGCAGAACATGGCGGAGGGAGTGGGCAAAGCTGTGGAGCTCCTCAGCACAATTTCCATTCCAGATGGTGCAGGCGTGGGAGCTGTGGGGGCGCGGGGGGGGGGGGGCTGCAGCTGAGAAGGGAGACAGCAAACCAGGAGAGAAGCCCGCTCCACAGAAAGCCACAGGAGTCACGTGGGGAAAGGCGAATGTTTGCAGCTCAGATGCACAGAGGTGCCCTGAGGTCCGCGATCCCAGCTCCGCCTTTGCCATGAAGGCTCTGGAACCAGAGGCTGTTGGTGGGGCTATAGGAGCTGTGTGGAGCTTGAGAGGAACAGGCAGGAGAGCGAGGAGCTAGGAGCTCTATTACTAATTGGCCATGCAGCCCTGGGCTGGCCACTTCCTCTCTTGGATCCGGTACCTCGTTTTGAAAAGGATGGTGGGTGGAGGGCTGACACTCTTTTTGGTAATGCCTAGGACCCCCGGAAGCATCATCGTTGGACGAGAGGGGCTTGACAACCCTCTACCCCCAATTCTACCCAAATGTGCTGCTGGCACTTCTCACCTTCAGATATTTACCATCTTTCCTCTACCTTTCTTAGCCCCTTATCTTTCTTCCTGGGCCAGTAAGCATGCAAGGGGGCCTCCAGATCTACCCAGGGGAGATGTGTGAAGTTGAAGTCATGCAGAGTGAAGCCTCAGAAAAGCTCTCTGTACTCATGCAATTCTGTGACTGAAGCCCAAAGGCTCTCAGCCTGAGAAAGCACAAGGTCTTGGTGAGGCTTCCAGGCCGGCTTGGGTCTGGCCTCAGGCCACGGTGACATGTGCAGGGCTGCCTTCCATTTCAGTTTTCCTTTCCCCAACTCATGACACCCTTGACTCTTATGCCCTCAAAACCCAGCTTCACTTAGACTGACAGGACAAAGAAGACAAACAGTGTGACTTCATGCACCACAGACGATGAAGGGGTTATGACAGGTGTGGGTATGGGGGGGCACTTTTAGGGCCCTTATGTAATACAGCTCAGGCAACTGCTCCCCCCCATTCCTGATGGGCTCCGCCAACCATGACATTCTCCCTCCCGTGAGCCTCTGCAAGTCCGGGATGAGGGCGTGAGGCCCAGAGATACCCCAGGCTGGCTGATTCTGCCCTAACTTTCCATCTCTGCCAAATACAGATGACAAAAGACGTCTCCTGGGTTAGAAGAACCTAAGACAGAATCAGACTCGAAGGAACAAAATTTGATTTGGGACACCAGAGGGAGACAGGGTGACTGAAACTCCGGGGAGGAATGTGGATCCAGCGCAAGGAGGTCATATTCACTTCTGCTCGACAGAGCTGGCTAATGCAACAGCAACAATCACTGTTACCACCTTTACTGTTCTACTTCCAAAAGGCAGCATTTTAGAACACCTTTACGGAGAGATACTTCACATAGCATAAAATTTACTCATTTAAACCGCACAACTGAATGGTTTTTAGTATGTGTGCAGAGTTGTGAAAGCATCACAACTAAGGTGAGCACATTTCATTACCCTGGAAAAGAAAGCCTGTGCCCATCACACTCAGTGCCCACGCTGCTCCTCCCCACCTCCCAGCCCTGAGCAAACATTATTCCACATAGCATTCTACCCCTTTACGTACTTTTCCTACAACGAGGGTGGTAAGATCCTAATAAGATCTCATGACCCATAAACAAATGACCAACAAGCACAAGATGCTCAACATCACTCATCATTAGAGAAATGCAAAAAAAACAATGAGATACCACCTCAAAACCCATTCAGGACGGTTGTTGTCCAAAAAAACAGAAACTAGCAAGTGTTGGCGAGGATGTGGAGAAATCAGAACCCTCGCTCACTGTTGGTAGGGGTGTAACCTGGTGCAGCCACTGTGGAAAAGAGTATGGTGGTCATCCCCCAAAATTAAAAACAGGATTACCATATAATCCAGAAATGTCACTTCTGGGTATATACCCCAAATAATGGAAAGTAGGGTCTTGGAGAGAGACTTGCACACCAATGTTCATATCATTATTATATATGCAGAATTATTCTGCATAGCCACAAGATGAAAGCAGCTCAAGGACCCAACAACTGATGAGTAGAGAAACAAAATGTGGTCTATATGTACAACGGATGCTATTCTGCCTGAAAAAGGAAAATCCTGGCTCATGTCACATCACGGAGAAAACTTGAAGACATTGTGCCAAGTGAAAGAAGACGCTCACAAAAAGACAAATATAGTGTATGATTCCACTTATGTGAGGTACCAGGGTAGTAACATTCATAAAGACAGAAAGTAAAATGGTGGTTGCCAGGGGCTGGGGTTGGGGAATGGGGAGTCAGTGTTTAACAGACACAGAGTTTCAGTGTTCCAAGAAGAGGAGAGTTCTAGAGATGGATGGTGGTGATGGCTGCACAGGTTCTCCCTCTGTGATCTCTCTCGCTCTCACTCTCTCTCAAATAAATACATAAAGTAAAATAAAATAAAATAAAAAACCAAAGGGGGCGCCTGGGTGGCTCAGTTGGTTGGGCGACTGCCTTCGGCTCGGGTCATGATCCCGGAGTCCCAGGATCAAGCCCCACGTCGGGCTCCCTGCTCGGCGGGGAGTCTGCTTCTCCCTCTGACCCTCCTCCCTCTCATGCTCTCTGTCTCTCATTCTCTCTCTTGCAAATAAATAAAATCTTAAAAAATAAAAAATAAAAAAAAACAAAACAAAGGGTTTGGGCGCCTGGGTGGCTCAATTGGTTGAGTGACTGCCTTCGGCTCAGGTCATGATCCTGAAGTCCCGGGATCAAGTCCCGCATCGGGCTCCTTGCTCAGCGAGGAGTCTGCTTCTCCCTCTGACCCTCCCCCCTCTCATGCTCTCTCTCTCATTCTCTCTCTCAAATAAATAAATAAAATCTTTAAAACAAAAAACAAAAAAAAAAAAAAAAAGGGTTTTCCAGGGGGCCTGGGCAGCTCAGTGAGTTAAGCGTCCAACTCGTGATTTTGGCTCAGGTCACGATCTCAGGGTCGTGGAGATCAAGTCCCACGTCAGGCTCTGTGCTCAGTGGGGAGTGGACTTGAGATTCTCTTTCTCCCTCTCCCTCCCCCTACTCGCATGCTCTCTGTTCTCTCTTTCTCTCACTCTCAAATAAATAATCTTTAAAAAAGGGGGGGGGGGCACCTGGGTGGCTCAGTCGTTAAGCGTCTGCCTTCAGCTCAGGTCATGATCCCGGGGTCCTGGGATCGAGCCCCGCATCGGGCTCCCTGCTCTGCGGGAAGCCTGCTTCTCCCTCTCTCACTCCCCCTGCTTCTGTTCCCTCTCGCTATCTCCGTCAAATAAATAAATAAAATCTTAAAAAAAAAAAAAAAAGCAAAGGGTTTTCTCCCGCTGATAACAGAAGAGGAAGTCAGAGACTCAAAGCACGGGGGGGATGTGAGGTCCCACAGCTGGACTGAAGATGGAGGGACACATGGAAAAGACTGAGTGGCCTCGGGGAGCCGAGCCGAGAGCAACCCCCAGCCAGCAGCCAGCGTGGCCTGCCTGGACCCATGACCGGCAGCAGTGGGACGTAACGAGCAGGTGCCATGTTGAGCTGCTGCGCTGGGACATTTGTTAGGCAGCAATAGAAGACAGATTCAGTCTCCTAATTGGGGCCAGAAAGGGAGCAGAGATGAGTCTCAGTGATTGACTCTGTCTTCTTCACATATCTCCACCTCCTCCAGAAAGCTTACCTGCCCCTGAGAGCCACTGAGGATCTTTGCCTCTGCCTTCCTCTGCCAGTAATTATCTACACTCCCTTGGCCCTGCGCATGCAGGCCTGCCAGCCCAAATCCCCTGCTCCTCCACAGTCGCCTTGTCTTCTCAAATCTGGTCTGAGTGCATCCAACACAGAAGCCACAACTTGACCTTTTTCATATTCTCCAAAGCTCCCAGTACAGGGCCAAGCACAAATAGATACTCACAAATATTTGGTGACTAAACCATTTCCTTTCAGCTCCAGTGACCAGCAGGGCCAACAAAGGGATTCAAAACCGAGATGGACACAGACACTCGGGGGGAGAGCCTTTCCCATTAAATGGGCTTCACCGCCCCCTGGGATTAATAAAGCACCGAGATGGTGACACCCCATCTCAGAAGCCTGACCTTCCATTAATGCTAGCCACTCAGTTTCCCGGCACACATCAGGCTACCATTTCTCTGAAGCTTTTTTTTTTTCTGTAATGTTTTTCTACAACTGGAATTTGCAAACAAAGGAAGTGAGAAGACAATGACTCGAGCTCCCAAAAAACATACTACCTGTGTTTTGTTCAACAACAGCCCTACCCTGAAGGCCTGCCATGTCCGGGCACCAAGCTGAGACCCCAGAGACAGGGAACTAAGTCACAATAGCCCCTACTCTTGAACTGTGGTCCAAGTGTCCCCTAAATACAGAGGTCATGGCAGAGCCTCTGACACTTCTGGTTTCTGACACAGAAACCAGAAGATGGCATTTCTTCAGGTGGGACCAGGGGATCAGGTTGACTACAGGCAGGCAGGAGGTGGGGCTCCTTTCTGCATTCTACCCTGCCCCCGAGACTCTGGGGCGGCCTTCTGTGCCCCACCCTGGGCTCTAATAACATGCATATGATGTCACTGTCTAGATGTGCAACAGTCTTGGCAAGTTTCATCCAGAGCCCTCAAGCACGGATTAAAAAGTAAATCCATAGCGTTTGGACAGACCTTTACAGTTTACAAGGCGTTGTCACATTCACAGTCTCGGCTGATCCTCCCAGGAGCCCTAGGAGGTGGGAGGAGTATGTTATTACCTCCCGTTTACACATGAGGATACGGAGGCATAGAGAGCTGAAGTGACTTACCCAGAGTTACCTGATTTGGAAGCCAAAAAACCACATCCTTCGACGTTGGATCTAGTCTTTGGGCCTACACGAGAACTCGGCGGAGACGGGCTAGGCTCCTCCCAGCTGGCCTTAGCAGCTGGTGACTTGAGAGTTTCTTCACAGAAAAAATGAAGGAGAGGTAGGGAATCAGGAATAAGAGGAAAACACAATGATGCCTCCTATTCTAGTAATTCTATTTCCAAAGAACTCACATATTTCTTATCTCATTTGGTTCACAGAACAATCCCAGACGGTCCATAAGGCAAGTATATCGTCACCAAAAATGGAATCAGAACTAGTCCCCAACTCTTCTGATTCCAAGACTCTTTCCACAAGCTAAGGGAGGGTATTCTTGCCACTTACACCCTCCTCTTGTCCCTTTGGTCCTGAAAGGTCAAGACCAAGAGACCACAGGATACCCTTCTCTTGTGTGGCCACACAAGTCCAGCTTACAGTGACCTTGCATTTCACCGTGTGTCCCCTGCCAGAAACTGGCCCCAGAAAGCAGCCATTTCCCCCTCTGGTTTTAGGATTGCTTTTAAAGAACTGATTTTATATATATATATATATATATTTTTTTTTTTTTTTTTTTAATTTGACAGAGGGAGACACAGCGAGAGAGGGAACACAAGCAGGGGGAGTGGGAGAGGGAGAAGCAGGCTCCCCACAGAGCAGGGACCTTGATGTGGGACTTGATCCCAGGACCCTGGGATCATGACCCGAGCCGAAGGCAGTCGCTTAACCGACTGAGCCACCCAGGCGCCCAAGAACTGATTTTATAAAACACGTACACGGGGGAGAATGGAATCTGCTAAACTCTTGCTCATCACAAATACACAACAAGATGGAAGTTATCAGGAAAGGGCTGTGGAAGATCAGCACCATGCTGGCTGGTGGAAAGGAAGAGTCTTCACGAAAAAAGAGGCATTGAAGCTGGGCCTTGAAGGATGAATGGAGAATCTTGACAAGTAGGAAGATGCAGACTGAGGAAATAGCATGAACAGCCCCTTGCAAGGGCAGCAGCAAGTCCACCTTGGCCCCCCACCTCAGACTGAGGCTGGCTGGGATCCAGCTTAGACCGCCAGCTAGCTCTGGGCTGGTTCCTGCCCCGGCACCATCTGCTCCGTCCTTCCTCAGGCTCTGTGGACTTGCAGCACGTCCCACCAAACCTTAACCACCCTCTTAACTACTCACCTTTTCTGCTCTCTGGCTGTTTCCCCCATGCGTCTTGCCTTCCCAACTAGACTAAAATATGATTCCTTGAGCACAGAGCAGGGGGTGTCTCTATCCTATCCGAGCCAGCATGAGGTGGGAACAGAGTAGGTCCAACAACCTGTTTGTTGACTGGCTGCCAAAATCTATCGGCCCAAGAATCATGGGATGACACTTGTACAAACAAGTAGAGCGAGAAGGGGCAGTGCTTGTAACCCTAGCCTGGGATGACAGGGACGGGATTAGGAGAAGACACCCACTTCTGGTTTTAAGATTATAGAACTGATCTAAATTTAAATCAAGGGGCTCAGATGTGTTGGGTCACTCTGTGGGACTGCCCTGTAGTTCACCTTTGGTTCTCTCCGAGACCAACATCCCAGGGTCCCTTTAATCCGTTTTTCTAGTCCCTGCTTGTCAACATCTTCCAATGAGACATAGTGTCTCATTCCTCCTCTTAGAAAGAGTAATGGAAATGGCGCAGTGGACATTTCCAATCTGGGGACTCGAGGATGATGCCAGAGGAGAGAGGGGAGTCAGGGCCAGGGTGGGAGTGGGGAGGACCCTGGGACACAGTACAGCTTCCTACCAGCTGGCCTCCAAGGTGCTAAGGTCTCCCCTCAAGTGCTGGGTGGACACAACTGACAACCAGGGAGACTGAATAGGGTCAAAACCCAAATGGGTCACAGCACCCCCAGAATGGAGCACAAGTAAGCAATCGAGGTAATCAACTAGGAGCCGGGGAAGGGAGCAGGGGAAGAACCAAATGCCCAAGTGAGTTCGGAGGCACAGAACTTCCATTTTAGGGACTTCCTAATCCAACGCTCTTCTCTAAGCCCACAGGTGAGGTCTTCAAACATTCTTTCCTGTGGTAGTCTAACCCTGTTCTACCCAATGTCTCTCTGCATCTTTGACCTTCCAATCCATCCTCCATATTGCTGCCACAGCGATCTTTCTACAACACAGATTAGTTAGTTCAGTGTCTCCCCTCCACCTTCAGAAGGTCCAATGTCCGCGTGACCCACGAAGGCCCTTCGCTGCAAGACCCAGACAGGCCTTCGAGTCTAATCTCCTCTCTGTGTCCCCCTGACTTCATCCCCACCTGGCCCTGCCCCCGGTGATATACTGCACAACACTCCCCAAAGATGCAAGTTTCCCCATGGTCGGCAGGGAGGATCCCAATTTCAAGGCCCAGCTCAAATGCCTCCAGCGCTGGCTCATCCCCCCAGCAAAGACGAGTCAGTTTCTCTTCCATGCTCCCCAAACACCTCCCTACAGCCTTTATCACCCTGACTTGAGCTGATTTTATAGAGACTGAGAAACCACCAGGGGTAGGGATAGGTTTTGCCTTCTTATGGTCGCCTTGTCTTTATTTCACTCAGCAGGAGTAGGTGGTCAAAAACATGTTTCCTGAAAGAACAAACCCCTTTCCTTCAGAGCTGCACAGTGAGCTCCTGGTGGGGCCCGGTTACTACCGAGGTTGTCTAATGCCCAGATCAAGGCACTGTTTTCTCAGCTGCTGCTTCTACCTGTTCCTGTGCCCCTGCAACTGGATGACTCCCCACTTATCTGGACCTTGAGATGCCGGGACAGTGACAGGCATTTGCATGAGCAGGACCCCAAGCTGCTAACTGCAAAGAAAGCCTTGTATGCCTCTCCTAGGGAAGAGATCTGATTCCCAAGTGCTCCAAACCCAGCTGTAGGCGGCGACAGAGCAGGTGAGTCATGCCAGCCCACACCCGTGGGCTCTCTGCTGCAGGGCCCCAGCGTCTGTCTGTCTTGGGTCACATGGGATATGGGTGCTCTGAGTTGACTCAAGTCCCAGGGAGGGGGTGCTGCTGTTCCGGCCAAGGACTCCCCCACCCTTGGTGGTGAAAGCAGGCATGACGGCCTTTATCTATGACAGCAAACATAAAGGGACTCAGGGAGCACAGGGGATGGCCTTAGAGAAGCTGCAGCCCATGATAAAGGTCAAGGGACACAGCTAACCACTCTTGAGATCCCATCTGGACAGACAGATGTGTAGGGCCATCCACCTGCCCAGCCTGTTATCCACTGCCTGCCCTCATCAGCATCTCTTCATTTCCCCAAATTCAAAGCTCCTCAAGAAAAACACAAGCTGTCCTCCACCGCCCAACCTCCAGACTCAACCCAGACATTTATCTTGCAGATGAATCTTGTTTTAAGCAAAGTCAGCATGTAAAGTCGAGGGATAAATCATTTTACAAACCCCTTTCACCACAAAGAGCTCCCTTGACACCTTCACCGCCCCCCCCCCCCCCCCCGGTGGCTTACTAAGCTGTAAGGTCCTCTGTGAGAAGTTGGAGAAATGAACACTGTTGCAGGATAGTCCCTGCCCTCAACAAAGTAAATAAGTTGCACATCTGAACTACTGTAAATACAGGAAATAATGTGCTCAACCCTTTAGGAGAGGCTCACAAGGTGAGTCTGGGAATCTGGAAGTGAATGAGTTTGGAGGGACATCATCAGGGAGGTGGCACATGAGTTGGGCTTTAGAGAATGGGTTGCATGTTGCCATTCAGAAACAGGTCAACTGGCCTACCATGTGGAGGAGATGTCATCAGCAAAGGACTGAAGGAGGACCCACAGACTGTGGATGGAATCAAACGTTAGGCAGATCCATACGGACACTCACCAGGGCGGGCTGAAACAGCACATTCGACATGCCCAAGTCCAGGGACACAGGCCACAGCACAAGGAAAAGTCTCCGAAGAGCAAGGGTCAACACGAACCCAAATAGTGCAGCAGCAGGCTTTATTCTGGGTGAGAAGTGTACCAGGATGGCCTTGGAATTAGACCAGAGGTCAAATGGCAGCTCTACCCTAAACAGCTGGGTTTGGTTACCCACCCAAAGTCTTGGTTTTCCATTTGCAAGTCCCCTCCCTAGCACTCCCTACCTAGTGTCTCACTAAGAAATGAAATGGGATGATGGAGAGCACCCATGGGGCGTAGTGGCAGGCACACAGCAGGTGATCAATCTATGTTAGCTTCCTCCTCCGTGCTTGAGGAGCTGGGACAATGAGCGAGCGACAAGTGCAAGACTGGGTGGGGCTCTCTAGGAAGAAAGAGGCCAAGAAAAGGGGACTGTAAAGACAGGAGATGGTGCAGAAAGAGGGACCACAGAGAAAGGAAACAATGTCTTTACACTGAGCTTTCTGCTCCACAGCAGGCCATTTTAGGGATGCTGGTAAAAGTCCCCACCCCACTGGTAGCTAGTTTATCTCTGAAGAATGCTGTGTTCCAAGAGCAGCACCAGCGATGCAGTTAGCAGAACTGAGCTTGTGGGTGGAGCAATGGGTAAGAGCTGAGGCAGCACCCTGGGCCTCTGCCCAGATTGTGGGGACACCAGAAATCAGGACTGGATCAAGATGGCTTCAGAGAGAGAAAATTGCTTACTTCCAAAAGCTTCCACTAGGAAAGCCCAGAAGTCCAAGGTTTTTTTCAGATCTAGATACCTGCTCTTTTAACCTGAATACCTGGCTCACTACAAGCTGGCAACAGAGATACCAACAGGCACGGGACCCACCTTTGCAGAGAGCCTCCGGTCCCATGGAGAACAGGCACACTAAGGATCTTCAGGGAGATGCACCATCTAATCCTATGTGTGTTTGCTCCTCATTCATTCATTCATCCAACCATTGCACAAACATCCACAGAGGAAGTACCATACACAAGATACGGTCCCAGAGAGGCAGGTGGCAGCTTAGCTGTTTACATCTCCATTCCTCAAGTTGTTTCACTAGTCAGTTTCCTTATCTGTCAGATGGAGAAAACGGGGTTTAGAGAAAATGCAACGGGATAATGGACACACCTCACACAGAGTAAGTACTCAAGACCTGTAAACTCTTAATAAACCAGTAGAAGTCAGGTTGCAGGTTATGCTGGATATCTTTCATTTGCTCCTCCAGGTCCTTTTTGCATCCTCTCCACCTGTACTGTGCCCTAGAATTTATCTGCATGGGCTAATCAACACCCCCTTGACCTCTGACTTCCCACTGGGTTTGGTCCATGGAGAGCCTTGACAAATCAGTGGGGGTTTTATTCCCCCAACTGCCTTCCTGAGCCCCTTGACCTGAAGTCCCAACTCTAGCAAGATGACCCTCCACACGGCCTCTCTGCCTCCAGGAGTTTAAGATCCCACTGTTACTAGCTCCAGAACATTTCACCGTCCAGAGTTGTTTCCCACACCCTGCTTCAAATTACGCATTCGAAATGTGCCATCTGTTTTGTGCTGGCCCCTAACATACATGGTGCAGGAGAGTGAGAACAGGCCTGGGAATCAGGAGACCTGTGTCCCATCTTTGCCACCAGCTGATTCTGTGACCCTGAATGCTCTTTGCTTTACTAGGTGTCCAGCTTCTTCATCTGTAAAAAGAACAGATGGGACCACATGGCTCTCTGGAGCTACAACTCCCTACCACTACTGGCTGCTCTGACGTTAAACCCAGAAAAGGGATGCACATAAAGGAATAAGGCTTCCTAGTGCAGAGGGCAGGTTAGCCAGCTAAGCCCCACCCCAACTCATTCTTGCCCAGGGGGCACCTCACTCCTTTCCAAGGACTTCCCTTTTCCTCCCAGATTCCTTGGGGACCAGGTGCCCAAATGATCTCCACTCCAAAGCAACAGACAAGAAAACCCGGGAAATTACAAGTAACCAACTGGCCAACCCTGATGTAGCCACAGGGGCCCCTTCCCAGGTTCTGGTATGCCCAGGGGGCCAAGCAGAGAAGCAGGTACACACTGCCCGTGAGCGTTCTTCACAGGGCTGCGGAGGGAAATGGCCTCTCACAAATGGTATCTAGGGCAGAGGGAGCCACCCAAACCAGCATCCGGTCAGAAAACCCTGAACTGAGATCCCTGTCACTGGACACGTTTCAAATAGAGGCTAAGGACCATTTGAAGGGATAGTAGAGAATCTCTGGAGTCCGTTTTAGCTTCTAAAAGTGACTCAGGGAACCCCAAGATCCATGAGAAAGACATTCCAATGGGAATATCACCCTCCCGGGCGTCGCCCCCCTCCCAACCCCACCCCCACCAAATCTGGAGTTTCACCTGCCCCAATCCACCCTCACCCAGACAGAGGTAGTGCAAAGTGCCAAGGGAGGACTGGGTTTCTAATCCTCAAGGACAGGAGGAAAGGGCAGTTTGGATACCAAATGCTCTGAGTTTCTGGCGGGGTAAGGGAGGTGGGACAATCTTTTCAAATCTCAGTCCCCGGGCTGGCCGCAGGTGCAAACCGCAACCTGGTAACTGCCAACACCAATCTCTCTGACGTTCTTCACGTCCCCCAAAGGCCTCCGGAAACCGGTGGTCTCTCCCCGTAACTCTGAGCAACTTCAAAGCCCTTCCCGGTGCCAAATCAAAACTTTCGAGACACTCAGGGCTTCCAGCGGCCGAACAGCGCACAGGACGGCTGCGGCCCAAGGAGGGCACAGCGGGCGAAGCCCGGAGACCGGGCGCGGAGGAGACCTCGGCGCTGAGTCACCGCGCACACCGCCTCGCCGAGCCCCTGTTCCCAGGAAGCGCCGCCGTGCGCCTGCGCATGCGCGAGCCTCGGCGCGTGACTCGGGAGCGCGCAGCTCTGGAGGGGGTGGGGCCGGGCCCCGAGTGGAGGCGCATGCGCGGGGCGGGCTCCCGCAGGCAGGGCTTGGCGGGGGCTGGGTTCCTCTCCTCCCCCGGCGGTGTGTCCGCAGGTTTGCTGTAACTAACCTCCCTCTGGGAAGCCGTTTGTGCTGAGGAGCCGGCTTGCGGGACGAGGCCAAGCTCGGCCAGGGGCCAGGTTCCCCCACCCTCTCGTCCCCCGTCCAGACCGCCCTGTTCGGGGCCTCAGTTTCCTCTCGAACGCGAGGGGATGCAGCGGGGAAGGCGGACCCCGCCGCCGTGAGGACGCGGGCCCGGAAGCCCGTCCCGCTGGATGATCTGCACCCCCCAGGCCGGGGCCAAGAGCAGTGGGGTCCAGGGCCCGAGAGGGGCTCCTAAGGAGGACCAGACTGCTGAGGTGGGCTTCCTCCACCGCCTCCTTACAGGGCTCCAGCACTGGTCCCCCCCTCGTAGCGGTGAGGCAGCATCTGGGGAGGACAGGGACCCGATGCCCCCCAAGCAGCAGCCCGTGGACCATGTAGGCCGGGTTGCCAAGAGAGGCTCCTTGGTGCCAGGCTCTGGTTTCTCTGTGAGTCCCGGTGCTGCTGCCCGCCGGACCTTCCCTGCTTCTTCATGGCCCCCCTCTGTCCAGAAACTTGCAGTGGCCTCAAGCCCAGACTCCTTGAGCTTCCATTTAAGGGCCAGGTTTCCCTAACCCATCTCATCTCAGCTTGACTCCTCACTGGCCATACACAGATGTCTTCCTTTCTGAGTTCGGGTCCTTGGTCTTTCCCCAGGATCCGTCCCCCTGGTCCCTGCCCTTCCAAACCCGCCCGTCCTTTAGAGTGGAGCTAGAATTCCACTCCCTTTCTAAGCTTGGAACCCCCAGGGTGTCCCAGTATTCCCAGGAGAGTCCTGATGTTATTAGGTAAAGGGATTCTCCTCCCCAAAGGTAATCTGTTAAATGTTTAAATAGTCTGTGTGCATGGGTAGAACTTTTCAAATAATTACATTTACAAGTGAGAAAGAAAATCATTTGTCCGACCATGTGTCTTGTATTATGATTGGGACATGTGGCCTTGTCATTCCCCAGGATCTGCCTGGTCATTCCAGTTCCATGCCTTGTGTCCCTAACTGGATGGTTAGCCCCCCAGGACAGATATTATGCCTGAACAAACGTGTAAATTCCAAATCTTTTGAAGTTTTGGTGGGAAAAATTTTCAGAAGTTTGGAGAATATGGATATATAACCAACAAATAATTTTGCACTCATCACAAATACAAAATCACTCTTTTTCATGTGTCAGAAAAATGTAGTGTCCCAATTGCTCTAGGCTCCAGGTTAACACAAATCAATGTGATTGAATGTAGTAGAAGGGACAGTGGGATGCGTAGAAAATTAGCCCTTTAGTTTGGTTTGTCATGTTTTATTTAGCTGGGTAAACTTGGACTTAACTTCTCTGGAGACGCAGCTTCCCCACGCTAGATTTGGATTTAAGGATAATAAATATGCCTGCCCCATCTAATTTATAATACGATCAGAGTGAAGATCAAATGTGAAATGGAGTTAAGGATTTGGGTTTATTATTTTTTTCTTTTTTGTTGTTGTTCAGGAAATAATCCTTAATAAATTTTCTTTTAAGATGGTTTAGGGGCGCCTGGGTGGCTCAGTGGGTTGTGTCTGACTTTGGCTCAGGTCATGATCTCAGGGTTCTGGGATTGAGCCCCGCACCAGGCTCCCTGCTCAGTGGGGAGTCTGCTTCTCCCTCTGCCTCTCACTCATTCTCTCAAATAAATAAATAAAATCTTTAAAAAAATTAAAAAATATATTTTGGTTTCTTTTTTTTAAAAGATTTTATTTATTTGACAGAGAGAAAGTGCACAAGCAGGGGGAATGGCAGAGGAAGAGGGAGAAGCGGACTCCCCACTGAGCAGGGAGCCCAACACGGGGCTCTATCCCAGGACCCAGAGATCATGACCTGAGCAGAAGGCAGATGCTTAACTGACTGAGCCATTCAGACACCCCTAAGATTTTATTTTTTTAAGTAATCTCTACACCCAACATGGGGCTTGAACTTAAAACCCTGAGATCAAGAGTTGCATGCTCTACGGATTGAACCAGCCAGATGCCCCACCTTAACAAATTTTCTAATGCAGGCACCTGGGTGGTTCAGTTGCTTAAGCATCTGCCTTTGGCTCAGGTCATGATCCCAGGGTCCTGGGATGGAGCTCCGCTTAGCTTCGGGCTCCCTGCTCAGCGGGGAGTCTGCTTCTCCCTCTACCCCTCCCCCCTGCTCGTGATCTCTCAAGCTCTCTCTCCCTCAAATAAATAAAATCTTTTAAATAAATAAATTTTCAAATGCAAATTACGTGTGTTTTAAAATTTCGTTACCATCAAGGTTCAAGGTGCTGACGGACCATTAAAAAAATCAGGCAATTCTGCATTTTTGTCAGTTTCTGAAGAGGAGGGAAAGGCCCTGGGATCGGAAAGACCAGTGTCACCAGATGTGACCCTGGGCAAGTAACCTCGCCTGCCGTAGCGTGAGTCAGGCTCAGATGGAATTTTGGCCCTCCCACCTCCACATGCTGCCTCCGCACCGCTCTGACCATCAGTCTCCTCATCAGTAAAATATGAATAATAATAACATGCATGGAATGCTTGCTGTGGGCTGCGTACCACTTCTCGCACACTGCTTGCTTTAAGTGATCTCATCCTCACCTCAGCCCCGCAGAGAGAGGGGCTCTTCGGGTCTCCATTTCATGGCTGAGGATTCTGAAGCACACAGCTGTGTCATTTGCCTGGAGCTGCCCAGCCAGTAAGTGCTGGAGCCCAGGACGAAGCCCAAGCAGTCCGACTCCGGGGTCTCTGGTCTTTTCCGTGTGAGACAGCTCCCTACCTGTGGGGCGATGTGAGCATTACACGACATAATACACATAAAGCACCTATCATGTGGCCTGGCATATGGCTGTTAGAATTACCTCATCATATCAAATATAACTGTGGGAATGTCTATTGGTCTCTAGCCCAGTTCCTGGCAAAAGGGGGACCCTAGAAGTTGGTTTTCTTCCCCCAGTGAAATGATGCGGAAACAGAGAACATGCTCCACAAGGCAAGCACTCACAGAAAATGCTCATTTATGCATGTTATTTTTTTAACCTTTGGTACAGGGAATAATACCTCAGAACCTGTGGGATACACCTTTGCTACAGGCAAATTCGTGTCTCTACTCTCATTTTCTTGTTTTTCTGATGCTTTTTTATTGCCATCAAGGTTTCCCTAGACTGGGAAAAGCTTGAGCCAAATGTCACAGACAGTAGAATCGGCACGAAATGTTGCCAGTGCTTGTGAGTTTTTGAAGGCTCCGACTTCCCCTCAGTTTGCTGAGGGGTTGGGTTGGGGGGCGGCCTACGACTGCAAAGCCAGGGCCTCAGAGGTGTCCTCCTATGGCTGGGTCTTCCTGGGTCTCCCCCCTGGGTAGGGCATCTGGCTCTCCCCATGCACACACCTGCCTATGCCCAATGCTCCCATAATCTGTCATCCACATGTCATTCATACAATTACTTCTTCACAGCCACACCCACCCCCCCCAAGGACCCTCTACACACAACATACAGTACACAGACACCTTCTTTACTCCCCCCCAACCCCCTTACTCTTTCATTCATTCTGATGGCACGGAGGTAGAGTCCTCCATGCTGGTCACCGTGCTACATACTCAGAGATCTTTTGGCCACAAACACTCACATATACACTGGTTTCCACACACATGCCAATTTTCCATGCAGGCATTTGCACGCCCCTTGTACATATAACCACAGGTAACCCCCACATATTCACATACATACACACCCCTGTGAAGACACTCGTTCCGTTCAGGCCCCTTAGATCACCTGGCTAGGTTTAGAATGGTCTTTGATTTTGCTTTCTCCATGGCATCTGGCTGTCCTCATGGCAGACAATGTAAAGGTGTCAGTAGGGTACAAGGCTTGTGAAATAGCACAATTTTGAACATGCTGGCAAGTTCTGGTGTGTGATGTTTATCTTCAAAACAGACCTCACCTACCTTCTGTTTTCCAGGAAAACGCTCCGTATTTCTCCCAGTCATAGGAAAACACTGGTTGCTGTCATGGGCGGGAGAGCTGACCTGGGGGAGGGCAGCAGTGGTGTGAGCTGGGTCAGGCTACTACGTTGCTGACTGTGGACTGTGGACCCCCGAATCAGGAGGAGGGCAAGGGAGAGGGAGGCAATGAGCCACACTGCCCTACTCATCCCACCCTGAGATCAGCCTCTCCCGACTTAGGAAACCCAGAGCAGGTGGCCACCAATTCCGCATCCTCCCTGTGCTGACCCCCTCACGATGGCATGTTGTTCACTCTCACACCCCCGTATATTTCCAATCTCCCACCGACTCCCCAGGGCCCAGGTCCTTCCTTTGCAAACACGCTCTGAATCAGTGTGAAGTCCTCCATTTCAAAGTAAAGGAGCTCTGCTCGGGGAGTCAAGGACAGGGTAAGGATTAATTAAAAACAAGTACAAGGAGGAAGCCCGGGGTCCTTCTGTGGAGAGCGCCACTTTCAACAGAAGCCAAGGGGAGGCACCGTCCTTACATTCAGGACAGACCCTCCAGCTCCCTCCCCAGAATCTTCAGCTACCAAGTGGGCAGTGGCGTAGTTGAGGACATGGACGTAGCGGCGTCTGCCTCTCAGAGTCTTGGGGACAGAAGCTTCCATAGTTCCTATGAACGGGCTAGTGCCATAGACACCAGGGAGAATGACAGCCAGGGGCTGAGGAGAGAGCATGTCTTCGTTTCCCATCCTACAATGGGAAGCCCGGGTTTCAAGGTCATCTTTGACACTGGGGGGCTGGAAGCAGGAAGGGTCTAGCGAAGAAGGCACGGGGGTGTCTAAAACACAAGTGGGCAATTCGTGTATTGTCAATCTAGCC